CAGGAGCTTCATGATGTCATGAACAATATAATACCGCGACTGTGAAGATGACCTCAGACAGTATCAGAGGCCATTTCTCATTTTTAGTCTTTCAGACGAACACTGAGGAGTTTTGGACACATCCACAGCTGATCTGTGACTGCATGAAACATTATTTTTCTTCATGTGTTTTAGATGTTTTTCTCAGGCATAGTGAGAAGCTTTCAGTGCTGAACTGGTCCTTCGGATCTTCGGCAGCAGGAGCAGGATCAGCTTTCTGAGTCTGAGAGTCACTGCTCTCTGATGTTTTTACTTCCTGTTCTTCTGATTAGTGATTTACAGGTGGAACACATATTTGTCCTCTTCGTGTTCTGAACCTTAATCATCTTTGTTTATTGTATTTAGGGAGCAGATGGAGAACACTGATGTGAAGAAGATCATTCAGGATATTTATGAAGCAGACAAAGCTCAGGCCAAAGCTAACGACCTCTTGGAGAGAGTGAGCAGAAACAAAGATGAGACCAAAGACAGGATCCGAGATGTAAAACATCCAAAATATTTCACATATGACCTCTGAGACGTTTGTTCAGCCTGATGCTAATGTGCTCATGTTTGTTTTCTGTTTCAGGCTGAAGACACACTGGACAACATCGAGGCGAGGCTCATGATTCAGACCAAAGACCTGCAGAAAGAGATTGAAGCTATGAAGGACAAAACTGAAGAGAACAGAGAGACAGCAAGAGAAGCCAGAGAGGTGGCAGAGAGCGCTTTAAACATGACCACTGATGCAGAGACGGTAAAAACACCAACAGACACATTTATATCTGTTTGAGGCTTTAAGATAAGAAAAATCTATGTAAAACTTTGCACACAACTTTGAGTCTCTGTTTTCAGTTTCAAGTCTCAGATGAAAATCAGAACACTGTTTCTGCCCAACAGGAGCTCAGTGATGTCACTAAGCAGTTTAAGGTTTTAAAGCAAAATCAACAGAATCAGGAGGTCAAGGGTCAAGCTGCTGGTCGACTGAAGAACATCATGACGGAAGCTGAGGACATGAAGAGACAAGTGGAGGACAAACTCCAGCAGATACAAGGTCAGACCGCTGACCTGCTGGTGTGTTTGAGGCGTGATGGGTGTGACCTTCAGATAAACTCTGAGGCACTGAAATGTCATTTCTGTCATCACTGGACAAAGTAAAATCCCTGTCCCCATCACAGCTTTGCTTCTGTGTTTAACTATTGTATGTTTCCGGCCATGTATCTCCACTCCCACTTCTATATATAAATGCATAAATACAATAATGTTTATTTCGTAAATATAACTGAAATAACAAGAAAAAAGAAAAACCTTAACATCAAGTTTCATGATTATCTCTATGTCTACACAATGTGTATGCCAGAAAATGAGTAGGATAAAGTTTGTACCTTTTCTGTTCCTACCCCCTCATTTCAAACTCCAGTATTTACAAATCAGTATTCAGACTTCGACATTATATAATCCATACATGTTTAACTGTATACAAGTCTACTCATATACAACACACACATAATTTAAGCTTATAAACCAAAACAACAAACTACAATTTTACATAAACTAAGCACCCAATGGTTAACACCCACTAAATCTCAAACTAAATCAAGTGGCTTTATTGTCATTCCAACCTTGTGCTGTGGTACAGTACACAGTGAAACGAGTTCCTCCATATGGTGCTACATATAACAGACAATAAGCACAGGACTACATAAGGTGCAATGTGCAAAGATTATTAAGAGTAATGCTAATAATAATAATGATACATTTTATTTCTAGGTGCCTTTAAGGCCCTCTAGGTCACCTTACATTAGTACAATAACAGTAACAACAATACAATATATTAAAATATAGTAAAACTAAATA